TCCAGTGAACTCAATGTGGCAAGTGCCACGCCATCAAACGCAATTGTGACAAAACAATGTTTTCAAAATAAGTTGTTATAACCATTTATAGTATAAGTGTCATGATATAACAGACGATTTGATTGGCTAATGCGCGTGCGTTGCGACGCAATAATGCACTGTGATCTGTGCAGGCACTGCCTTGCTCTTTCCGTCTGTTTTTTCCCCTCTTCATCACTGCTTTTTAGCCAAAAATATAAACAAAACTATGGAGCTTTTAAAATACAAAATTTATCAGAAAGCAAGAAGGAGTAGACCAAAGGAACAAAGCAAACACGACGAAACCTACGATTTACCGTCTTTCATAGTAAATCCAGCAGGTCAGATATTTCTACTATTTTAAACAATTTTTCCGGCTTTATAGCATCAAAAGTTTGTATATTGTTTTGGCAATTTCGCTCCTTCGCTTGCTTAAAAATTCAAGCGACAGCAAAAGCATTCTGGATTTCTGTGGCAAAAGCATGCGCATGACGTCACTGAGTACATGTTAGGAGAATTTTAACGTCGATCTTTTGAGTGAAATTGTTTACTATGTAATATCATGGATAATAAAATACATGGATAGGAAACTAGCTGACGTGACCTAATGTTTCAATGGGATGATGGCGTTGAAACCTAGTTGCAAACCAAACTCTCAAAAACGGCATGTTTAGCGATAATACAGCTAAACATTTTAGTCAAAGAGCAAATAAATATAACTAAGCCATTCTACGATGAAATCTCTAAGTATTTCCAGTCAATTTTAGCAAATATTTCAAGCACTAAACAGTGAAAAATGCATCGCAAATTTCGTAAAAATTGGCGACGCCAATTTCGTAGCTACAAATGTTAAAAAATACAAAACAAAGACGAAAAACATTAACCTTGAATACTTTGTCGTGGCTTAGGCATGTTTTTAAAACAATTAGACCAGTTTATGCTTCAATATTACTCTTTCAAAGCGGAAAATATAGCAAAACAACAAAAATGCTGAGAACTTTGGCAATACATGTGACGTCACAGATTGCAACTAGGTTTAGACTGTGACGTCAGCTAGTTTCCTATCCAGTTATTTTACAATCCATGGTAATATTTTTACTTATATTATAAAAGAAATTGAAAAACTCGTCTCGTGCATTTATAGTGCGATAATACACAACATTCCCCGCGTGCATTATCACACCATAAACGCACGCGACTCATTTTCTATTTCTTAAGTAAATTTTAAAAACATCTTAAATATCTGTTAAAACTATACGATAGTTACCCTCTCGCGTGTTTTTATGGCGTTCACAACCTTTTTCACAAACCAAAGATTCAATGTACTGTAGATGGAAATTTCCAGTGCAATTTTATACATTTATTAGACCTCATCAGGGGCAGTTGCGAAAAATACAACTGTCGGCCCTCTGCCAGGAATCGAACTTGTGGCCCTTGCAGCGCTCTAATCAACTGATCTACAGAGTCCAGTTGTCAAGCTCTAACCAAAAATTCATGCATAAATATTAAGGTGATGCCAACACAAATGTCAGTCTGTCGTGTGAGTTGCCCAAAATCTTGATATTTTCAAGGAAAATTAAATATGTAAATATTTTTGGAACATAGAAACTAGTGGTATTAAAGAGGTGCATCCGTTTAAGTGAAAAGTTCGATTCTGAATGAAAAGCCCCCAAAACAATACGTCGGCATGTATTTAAGATAAAAAAACCAGCACACAATAGAGTACTGTACTTTTCAAAACCTTTATTTAGGTATCCAACCAATATCCTTTCGTCAACTAAAATTCCTGTTCCATCTCTCCTACCCAAGTCTGGAATGGATGGTACCACAATTCCTTTATCTACCTTGGTGGATGGTTGCCATTGGGACACACAAGTTTTAGTACAGTAATCTAATGCTACATATCGAAATGGTCTTATATGCAAATATTACTGATCTCAAAATAAAAAGTGGATAGTGGATCATGTCTACCCACCAAAAATGTACTGGGACGTTCCTGATTTATGTTAAAACAGTTTTTACAATTTGTGAATGTTGACAGAAATATATTGTCTAGATTTGAGTTGGTCATCAGTGACCTAATGCATTGATCAGGTCATACCCTGGTCGTACTAATATGGCTGCCTCTAGTTTTATTAAGGTAGTGTTCAAAACGTTCAAGAACTCATTAAAGCAATGCATACATCTCTCACGTTTCACCCAAATTCCATTTTGCTTCACTTCAAGCAGAACTAAAAGATCTGTAACAAGATTGAGAAATTTCAAAATCAATTCCATTAAAATATGCTTCAAAAATGGTTTATTCAATTCAAGAGGATGCCCTATCCAGCCCTGGTTATGAGATCAGTGGTACGGTGAATGCTATTATATTTCTGTGTATGTGGTCACTGGTACTATACTATAGAAGCATGCCATTACTCTAGCTAGTATGAGGAAACTAATCGACTAAATGTTTGAGGAATATTTCATCCAATCTTGATAATAATGATAAATAGAAAATGAATGTTGAATTGCCGATGGTATTTAATAACACGTACAATATGTAGTTTTTGTTTACATTCCGATTTTGAAGTTGTTTTTTGTCCGGCACGGAAACCAACGAGCTTTGGCCATTTGTTCGTGAATTAATTCGATTGGTTCATTTGAATGCCCAGCGGTTGTTTCACACAAAACCGGAAACCTAACCCCCTTCCCTAACCTCTATTTACACCTAACCCTAACTGAGCATCCCACCTGCGAATTCTACGCCAGCAAAACGAAGGTCTGTGGACAGGCTAGTGCAAGGCGTGCGAGTGCCTTACGGCTACCGAGTATTTGCTACAAAATTGATGAAATTTACTTGATGTCACTTTAGCATGCTGACAGAATGAAGAAAATAGTTGTGCCGGACAAATAACCAAAGTTCATTGGTTTCCACGACCGTAAAAATAACTACTTCCTTTCAATTTATTTTTGAAAATAGAAATTCTGCATATTTGAAATAGAAAATGATCTTATTCACCTTCGCTACATGCAGTTTTTAGAAAATTAACGTTAGCACAAATCCTCTATTTCAGCATTCAAAACAGCCGGAAACGGGCAGCGTTATCTTGTTTAGAAATCTTTATCGATGTGTATAGGTTTACTCGTAATTATTGATTTATTGTACTCGTTGTTTCGGGGCACACATTCTCTTCCGCGAGAACAGAGAAGTTATCTATCTATCAGCTTTATTTGACACAATATAGTCAGAAATATTTACAAGTTATAAGTCCAATGTAACGGGGATAGCGCAAACGGGACAACGAGACCCATGCTAGGTGCAACCCCTAAACAAATATCAAACTAGTAATAGACCCCCCCCCCCAAAAAAAAGTGGCAGTCTCTTGTGAGCGACCAAGTACATGCCATATCAACATTAAAAATAATGTTGACCAACGCGGTGTATGTCACATGCAGAAAACGTTTAAAAATAGCTAAGCTGGCGAACTTTTCAGGAGAGGCTATTTTTCCAACGTTATTCCAAGTTTAACTGATTCGGTTAAAGAACGATCCTTGGAAAGTGGATGTTCTGCAGAGTATGGAGATTTTAACATTAGAGATGAATTCTGAGTACGAGTTCGTTTATGATGTATTATAAATGATACAAAATGTTCAAATCAGGGTGGCCAAAAATACATTTATAGACGTGAACAAGATTTCTGATTTCTCGATCGTTAAACGTTTTCTGACTATCTACATAAGACATTTCTCCGACTTTACTTTTTAGAATCCGACGTGTAGCGCGCCTTTGAATTCTTTCTAATACAACTTGTAGCTTCACATTTGCTGGGGATCACACCTCCGTGTTCGCCCAACTTTAGTGTCTCTAATTAATCAGGGGACAAGTTCTCTTTAAAGTGCGACTGACCCCAAATATGATTTTTTGTATGTGCAATAATGCGTCATTCTAAGAAGAAATGTATAATTATATGTCTTTATAGTAAAAAACCTCATCTTGATAAATTGTTTTACTGTCAAAGTTTCCGGAAATGATGTCATTAGGTGAATTTTTGGAGCAAAAAACAAATGAAAACTAATTTGCAATTCATCCAATGACATCATATCAGGAAAATTTGATAGCGAAAATGTTGTTCAAGATAAGTTTTTTACTATAAAGATATATGTTATTTACCGGCTGCGAAAATATTTTCCCTCGGCTCAGAAATGTCCCTCGGCCTTCGGCCTGTTGTAAATTAGTAGCTTAATTAGATTCATTGAAAATATATAGTAAAAATTTATATATGCATGCCAATGTTATGACCAAAAAATATGTATAAAGTAAACTGGAACATTTGAATAACAGGAAATACGAACGTTTAAACAAAAACAGGAACTTTTAACATTTTAGTAAATAAGACGGAATGTACGTACGTAAGGGAAGTTTGTGGGTTGACTTGTGGTCAACCAAGCGAGGAAAATGTGAATAATGTGCGTCACACATTGAACTTCCTCTGGGAAAAAGTTCCCACAGTATGAAAAGTCAGACAGTATAAATACGAGTGAGATTGTCAAAAGAAGGAGTTGAGTTGCGAACGAGTTGTGAGTGTGTTGAAATGAATTGTGAAAGAGTGCGAAAGTTTGTTTGACAAATTGTAGAGTGTTTGCATATCGATAGCAGTGATCAGTCATATGTAACGAATGATAATAAAATAAAATTTGTGAAAACCGAAAGCATACAGTCCCATTATATTCGAGAATCAGCAAAGGAATAAATCTCACGAGGAGAATTTATAACACGGCCCGCTTCTGAGACCTTGGGAAAATATTTTTTCAGTACGGACCGACCTAAACGGTCAATAACGTGTTCATTTTGTATTTGATAGTTCATGGTTATAATGTTCCGATAAAATTCCAGTTGCGAAGCCGGTACATTTGAGATCAGTTGCGTTTGTCATTTTAGTGCAAGCAAGGCTCAAACGACGCGATAAAAGCTGGATAAAAAGCTTTTAATTTCATTACAATAGATGCTTTTCTACTCAACAAGAAAACACAAGGTAAACTAAGTAAAAATATTTATTTTCTGGATCGTTTTACAGCAAGGACATGCTTGAAAAATGCTTTTTGACACACAAATACAAATTTTAGTTGCCGAAAAACAATTTGTTCTCTTTACAAGCCCAGGAATCGTCTATTGACTATAAACTGCCATTTTTTCTTAAAATTTTATGTTTAAGGACAAGTTGTACGTTGTACTGTTTATATTTATACGAGGGTGTTGATGGAGTACAGCGTATATCACGTCGTGATTCACTCAATTTCGGTTACCGTCAATCGGAAAAACACTAAACATTTACAGTGAAGCGTGAGGAAAAAATACTGTTTATCGTTTCAGAACACTTTTCAAAGATTTACTGTCAAAATACCAAAATGTTACTTATTGTTAATACCGTTAAAATACCAGAGACCCTCATACGTATATTTTCAAAGAATAGCTGAAAAAACCCCTTGAAAAACCCCGCTGCTGCAGCCAATCAGATTGCAGGAAATAAAAAAATATCACTAGGCATGCACAAATAAAAAAAATAAATGTTACATATTTCTTCTTAGAATGACCCAATTAGCCTTTCTCACGCCGCCATTTTTGGGTGGCTTTTGAGCCGAAGTCTGCAAGATAAGTCCACATAACAGCGACCTTTTAATGTTTTATAATTTTTTGGACGAATGATGGTAAATTTTCTTTGTAAATGGTCAGGTTATTTTGAAAAATTGCTTTTCACATTGTTTTAATTGTCTGCAGTGGTGAACGAGAATTAGATGCCACCCAAAAATGGGGGATATTCGTCATCGTAAGAAAGGCTAATTATATGAAGATACCAAAAATTATATTAGGGGTTGGTCGCACTTTAACTACCAAACATGTAAACATGTTGGCTTTACCGTGGCTTTACTGACGATTTAGAAAATGTGGGAATCCTAGGATAAGTTGCTATTTATAGTGTCTAACAATTCTAGTAATGTGCAGACATCAGTGAAATTGCTAAACAAAACGAGGATCCGCAATATCTTATCGTCCCTCTAAAATTAAAGATCGTATTCGCAACAGTACAGTTCGTATATTCGCAACATTATAGTTAGTATTCGCAAATTTTACAAACTTTAATTTTGCCGGAGATTTGACGCCTTTATCTGCCAAAATTCAATTGATGAATGCAAGAGCATAAACTACGAACATTATATTTTATTTCAGACAATTTGAGGGGACGTTTATTGGAGAGGGGTTTAAAAGAGAAGCTAGTTTTAGTCATGCCAATACGATCAGCTAAGACAACATAAAAACTTTTACATGAACTTTCAGGATAGCTAGTAAATCTGTTCACAGGGACGTTGCCTCTGGGAGGTTAGATTTACCTAAATTTTTCCATCTTAACGTTTTTACCTGATTTTGGGTGCCGAGCAAACGTTTTTGAAAATTTGAAGTCCCTAGACCGTCGGAAATGGTATTTTTAGACTCTTTCTACCTAATATTTCTATATTTTAGCATTGCCTAACAATGAAGATAAGCATTGTTACATACAATCGAATGTGAGTATTTGACCAAGAAAATTGAGAAAATTTTGGAAATTTGGAGTCTCCAGATCATCAGAAAGGGTATTTGGCAATGTTCCCCCTGCCACGACGGGGGTAGGTATTTTTCTAGTTAAGCCTTTCGAGTTAAGCCCTTCTCGAGTTATATTAAGCCCCTGCCATGCCCTTTTTCGTCGGGGGCTTAACTCGATGAACATAAGGTTGCATGTTTTAGTACTTCGAGTTAAGCACCGGGTTTAACTCGAAGTCAATTAACGATTTAAACATTCGAGTTAAACATTTGGTAGATGTAACAAGTGACGCGTGTATACTAAAATTTTAAAACATCGAAGACATTTTTATGAATTAATTTCTGGTATATTATTTACTTGTGAATGTTTTTTTGTGTTGACTATTGTGTACTGTACTGTACTGTACTGTACTGTACTGTACTGTACTGTACTGTACTGTACTGTACTGTACTGTACTGTACTGTACTGTACTGTACTGTACTGTACTGTACTGTAC